CCCCAAAACCCCAAAACCCCAAAACCCCAAAACCCCTTTTGAAGCAAATATGATTGAAACTATAATATGCGACGAAACAAATATGAGGCAATGGCTTATATTTTCTCATGCAGGCTTCCAATTAGGTTTAAATAAGAAGGCAGAAGCTTCACATGAGCTTCATCGTTAGAATAGATCTCACCATCAATATTGAAATATGAGTTAACAATTGGAGTTAATTTCAGTTCAGAGACTTCAAATTCTTCAAACATATTGAATTCCAAATGTCTTGCTGAGGAGAATTTACTTAAGAATTTCAGCATTTTTATCTTACCTCATTTCTTTAAGCATCCTAGTCTCATTGTCCCATCATTAATTCTGATGGGTGGCATGAAAACTTCCTTTTTATTAATAGAGCTTCTTCATTCGTGTGTTGTAACTCAGAAGAAAGAAAATTCATCGTTTTCATAAATCTTCCAGTCCTCTTTATGCGAATTATCAGATTTTAATTCGGTATTTTTAGAATTTTTATCAACAGAAGTTCATTCTTTGCTCTCCTCACCAAAGTCATAACTCTGGCTATCCAGATCTTTGGTAGCATTCTTGAATGCTATTTTTCACTTGTAGTTCTTTAGACTACAGGAGCATAAGAAAGTCTTTGCGCCACAAGCAGCATATCTCGCTGATTTGAGTCATCTTCTCCATTTCTCAGCCTTATGTACTATATCTCCTGTGATTCCCCAAAGAAGGGATGTTCCATAAATGGATTCTTCTTGGTCTTTAAACTTCACTTTCAAAATGTCAGCTTTCACAGTAGTACCTCTAGCAATATTAATGCAGGCTTTAAACACATCTTTGCCTCCAAGATCTCATCAGATAGCATTTTGTGAGCCACAAGGGAGTAAACCTATCGGAACTTTAAGAAGCTCTTTATATTTCGTACTTTTTCCTAGTGCGTTAACTAGTTGACTAAACAGCCCGTCTCCTCCCACACAAACAATATCGGAATAAGGGAATGGCTCATTTTCGTACTGATTTACCCATTCTTCCACATATGTCGAAGAATTAGTCATGAATTTATCATAAGCTACTCCTGTTATGTTGAGAATGGGGGAGAGGATCTCCCTGAAGTATTTCCTAGCAAGTCTTTTACCAGAGACAGGGTTGACCAGAACGGCTATCCTTCTCTCTTTAACTCTGTTAACACTCTTGAGTAGCTCTTCAGTCGTTTCGAGTTCTTCCAAGTTGTTGAAATATAATACCTCTTTCTTGAATTTCGAATGAGTGAGTGTTAATTTCATCTAAATTAATTATGAAAATGCTCATTTAAGATGGCGACTGTTTAAGGAATTTTTAAGATTACCTCTTCTTCCTCCTGGTGATGCTCAATACTCTCCTGGAGCTGTGGAGGCTCAGTATGGACCTTATACTTCGTGTATAGGCTATCTTCTTGCCTTGCAACCTGTGTTGTGTCAGATTAGTTAATAACACTTAAAGCTTCAAGAAGTACTTATTTTTGTTTTAAATCAAGTAGCTTACTGAGGATAATAAAGAGGCTAGTTTTAGCAAATATATGCTGAAAAATTATGCTTAAGATGAAAAATATTTATTCTCACTAAATCTAGCTTTAGGTAAATTATAATACTTTTTTTCTAAATTTGAAAAATATTGACAAAGAAAATACTCCCAAAACTCCAGTGAGAAGACTCAAGGAGCACCAGAAAACCCTTTCTTAGCATTTTAAAGTTCAACAATACCTCCTCTTAAGTTCTTTGGATGGTATAAATATTTTGATATTAAGACGAGATTTCTTGAAAAATTAGGTCTATTTATCCCTTCATGACGTCAGGGAAACGTAGAGTAAACATTAAAAATTTCGAAATTTTCTCAGGGATTTATTAAACCTCCAGAAATCGACTTACAGAGACGAAGTAATCAAAATCAATGACAAAGTCTCATGCAATACTACCATCTCCTCTCATGGCCTTATAGCTGTCTTGATTAATAGTAAAGATTTCTTTAAAGTTTGTAAAATCATCAAAATCCTTCTCTTCCTTCTTCTTTGACACAAACAATTCATACAGTTCTGCTCCTTCTTGATCACTCTTGCGAACAGTAGCAATTCTGAAGGACTCTAGTTGGGATAAGGAGTAATTGACAGATGTCTTGTTTCCCATGCTTGAAATGAGATATATTTTTAGATGTAAGGAATTAGTGGGGTTTTGGGGTTTTGGGGTTTTGGGGTATTGGGGTTTTGGGGTTTTGGGG